GTCATCCCTAGATTGTGAGGATGGCACACCTGGGACCAAGTTCAGACCTGTTGTCCATAGGATCACTATGACGTAACTTGACTCGAGGGTACTTAACAGCAACATTCATTTTGAATAAACAATTTTATTTTATAGGCAATATTTAAAATTATAACATCCTAAAAGCTCCCATTGTCATGCAGCACGAAATGAATCTGAGGAGCTAGAATTTTATTTTCCTGATATCATACAGTTAATAAATCAGAATTGGAATGAAGAGCTATGGTTCAGGATTCTTTGTTCAGTTCTTATCTTAGTACAACAAAATGTTCACCAAATTCTTTCTTTATGGTTACTACTAAGTGGTTTTAAGTGCTTAAGAATGGTTTCCATGTTATTTTATTTGGTTCTAAGAATTTGATATTTAAAAACCAGAATGCCAATTTTTCAGCTAATATGCATAATTTTTCTTTACTAAAGTGCAGTCATTAGTCATTTAGTATATTTTTTGGTGGATTTAAGTATTTTTACGTTTGAATCTCTCAGCTTCTCTTAGGGAGAAAGATTGACAATTTCCTCTTGTGTGATTTACTACCTCTGGAAATCTGCTTGAGGGTCATCTATGAGTCGTTTCTGACTCAAAAGCACACAACAACAGCATCCCTTCTATATGAGACTTATAGTGGTCTACTTTGTAGGGTGTTGTTCTGTGTGGGGAAGTCGGAACTGACCCATGACTGACCTTCCAGTGGATTTTCAGACAACAGCATGAGGGGGAGACGGAGTGGGAGTGCCCATCTTTCTCCTGCAGAGCAGCTGGTGGATTCAAATCATGTACTTTGCAAACCCAAAGGTGGCGCCTCTGGTGGTTTGAATATGCTGGTTCTTGAGAGAACTAGGTAGCACGAAATTTAATAATAGACTAGTTATTTAAAACACTTACAAACATGCTGCAATCCCAAAGGCACATACTTCAAATCACCAACTTAACTGAGGGAGAAAGAAGAACATTGTCCTCCCATGTGATTTATTGCCTCTGAAAACTAGCTTGAAGGTCAGCTGTGGGTTGGTTTTAATTGGAGAACACACAACAATATATTATAAACACCGCTTTTGGTATATACTTTACGAGGTGAAATTTTTCTTAAATAGTATTCTCTGTTTTCAACTAAAGGCTGCTCTGACAATTTTGGAAGCTGATAGTTTAGAGATACTGCATGTTAATTAATAAGTTGCCTAGTTAATAATTACATAAGAGGATGAATATGGAGAGTCATGCTTTGACACTCAGTTGTTGACTTGTTCTGGAAACTAATTTGAATAGAAGAAGTTAACTCATTTTAATTAGATACAATTGTCAGCATCAGGATGGATGGTGAAAAGATTGAGATTGTTCACAGCTTTAGTTTGCTTAGCTCCACAGTCAACACTCTTGGCACCAGTAGCCAGGAAATGAAAAAACATATGGCCATGGGAAAGTCTGCTGTTAGGGACCTCTCCAAAGTACTGAAGAGCAATGCTGTCTCTCTGGAGACTAAGGTGCGTCTGATACAGGCCATGGTCTTTGCTCTCACTTGTTATGCATCAGAGAGTTGAACAATGACTAGGGAGGATAGAAGGAGAATTGATGCCTTTGAGCTTTAGTGCTGGAGAAGAGTATAGAGAGTACCATGGACTGCTAGGAAAACAAACAGATTCATCCTGGAAAGGGTCAATCTGGGTGGCTCCTTGGAGGCAAGGATTCCAAGGCTCCATCTAACATACTTTGGAAATGTTGCAAGGAGGGACAGATCCTTGGAGAGGGAGGGACATCATGCTTGGGAGGGTGGAGGGACAGCACAGGAAGGGAAGACCCTCTATGAGGTGGATTGATTCAGTGACTGCGGTAATCAGGATGGGTGTATCAGACAGTGCGATTGGCATAGGACAGAACTGAGTTTAGGGCTGTTGTACATAGGGTCGCTGTGAGTCGCAAGTGTCTCCATGACACATAAAAACAACAACAACATATCACATCTTGCGGAAATGATAAAGTGCATATTTAGACCAAAGTTGTCGTAAAAATATTCTTTCCCTTAGATTGCTCTGGTGGCCTAGTGGCCTACTGGCAAGAAGCTGCACTGCAGTCTCAAAGGTGCTCAAAGTCTTGAATCCACCAGATGCTTTGCTGAAGAAGAATGGACAATCTCTTCCTGTGCCAGTTGGATCTGACTCAACAGTACACAACAAGCAAAAAAAAAATCTTTCCCTTGAGTTTTTCAACTAAGAACAATCTGATTTTGATTTGTCATAAATAAAAAGATCCTTAAAAATGTTAATATCTCTATCATTGTATCATTAATATTTCATATTTCAATAGGAATCCTTAGGATGTGTTTAAACAAATGCTTATAAATATTTGATAGGCACTAAGAAATTGAGAGATGATACCAGTTACATTGTGATAAGACTGGAATGTTTAAAGCCAAGAGAATGATTTGTAGTTGACAGTCATTGTGGGTGACTAGTATTATTACTAGGATAACACTGAAAATTGAAAGCTAAAACATTTGAGTGTAATCTGTTATATATACACAAATATTTAAAAACAACCTCTTTTATTCTGTATTATACTTTGGGGTATTATGGTATTGTTGTTGTTATGTGCCGTTGAGTCACTTGTGACACATACTGACCCTATGTACAAAAGCTCTGAAGCCTGCCCTGTCCTGAGACAGTGTCATTGACTCAGACACACTTACCCCCATCGCCCCAGTTACTGAATCAGTCCATCTCATCCAATGTCTCCTGTGCTGTGTGTCCACCCTTCTGATCATGATATTAGGTGGTTACAAAAGTAATGTACTAATGTGAAATTAATAAGATGTTTCATTAATTATTTATTTTTAAACTGCTAACAATGAAAAAAAAAACAAAACAAGAAACAACACAAACAACACCAGAGGCCAAGAAATGAAATGCAATAAAAAATGAAATATTTATTCTTTTGGCTCAATAATGACGTAGCTCACCATTCCTTTTAGTAGTAGCAATTCCCTGCATGCAGTTCATCAATACACTACAAGTAAATAGTTTTGTAAAATGAATTAATATAAACTTTTGGATTGTGCAAGTGAAACAAAAATTTATATTAGGTAATTGCACAACTTTGCCACTTTGTTCATGGCTAATAAGGACAGAGCCCACATTATACCTGTAACAGCTTTAGTGCAGCAGGAATTAAAAAAATAAGACTCGTCTGCATAAGCAAGTACTACAAAAGTTAAGTAAAAAAAAAAAACAACAAAAAAAAAACGAACAACACCAAAACAACTAAAACTTCTATGAATAAAGAGTTATATTTGAGGCCACCATAGTTGGTAAAAAATAACCTAGGATTCAGTTTTGAAAATGTATCTCCTATTGAATTGGTAGAAAATATATTCAAACAAAAAAATTCAAAACCCCATTGTCTAAATTTTTATTATAGGAAATGACCCATTGAAAATTTTTATGGATTCAAAATTTTGGAATTGTGATAAAAAAAAGCAAAAGCATAAAGTAAAATAAATTGCCATGTCACCAACCTGAAAATAATTATCTTATGTACAAAATGCTAACAAATAAAATTGATTATATTTTTACATTATTTATAATTAAACACATCTGGATATATTTTTAGCAAAATATGAAGTGTAGGTTTCGACAGTAGTGGGTACTGTGTTTTTTTTTAAATCTAGAGAGACACCATATGACAGTAAAGTTGAATTGCAAATGCAAAAGTAAAATATTTTTCAGTAGCTTCAAAGAATTCTGCTTGACATAGTAGACAAAGAGCTGGCTAACCATTTGAATTCACTTTACCACCAACATGTGACTTCTTCTAATCAAGACTTGTGAAAAATGGGTTGAATTAAATAGAGCAGCATAGGCAATATTAACATGCATTAGTGATAGCCTTCAAACTATGTTTAATGAGTGGTACAGGATACATCCTTGTTGAAGCTTGCAAAAGACACACACACTGTGGTACATATTTGATTTAATAGAAGTTGTTTATCAGGCTATATATTTATATATATTTGCCCAAACATGCACCACAGGATAAAATAACTACGTATTTACATAACAGAGGGTGCTTAATTGACATAAAATGTCAGCTTTGCTGAGAGCAGAAAATGGCAAAGCAATACTGCAGCAGAAGTGGAACAACTATTCTAAAGCAATACTTTAAGTACTTTTTAAGAACAGATTTATTAAGTTACTTTTTGGAAAGCATTTAACCAAAGTTAAATATAGAGCTCTGGAACTTAGAATAAAATTTGCACTTGCTGAAACAGAATACTTTGCATAAAAATAATCCTTTAAAAATTATAGGAGGCTTTACAGGCACATAACTGTTCAGATATAAACAAACATAACAGACTAAAACACTTTCAAAAGTAGACCTGTCTAGAAAATGGAAGTACTAGAAATTATGTTGATATTAAAATTTTTTTCTAGTTATGAGCAAAAATTTCATTGTTCAGGCAAAGCACTTTTGTCTGATAATCTGAGAAACTTGTGGAGTAAGAATTCAGGGTTTTATAGATCTTCCCCAACTTAAACCTCATTTAGAAAAATAATAACAGAGTGTCATGGACAACCTATGAATTAAGAATGAGAAAAATTCACTAGAATAAATTTTGTAAAAATATGGCAGGTATGGAAGTTAAAAATAGAGTGGATGCAAGAACTGTACTAAAGGTGTTTGGTATAGTTACAATTATCACTTTGAACAACTATCCTTACAGTCTAGGTAGCCATTAAGTTTCCCCTCAGCAGTGTCAGCTGGTAATGAGAACAGCAACCTCTTGTCAATGTTGATACCCTGCTTCACAGAGTTGCAGTGACGAAGAGGCCACCGTCTTGTTATAGGCACTGACCATTAGTATTTGTTAAAACAGTCAGTTTGGCATAGATCTCCTCTGGGAGTCCAGTTGACACATGCGCTTTACCTTCATAGGCTGTAAACAATTGATCACAAAGAGAATTGTTTCTTTTTACTTCTGATTTTCCCTTATCTCTTTTCCTTTGCTTTCTTTCTCTGGTTTCTCTTTCTCAAACTTTTCTTTGTCTGGTTTTGTTACACTATCATAGGAAGGAGGTGAGGTGGTAGAAGAACTTCCATCTGTTTTTTCTGGGGTGGAATTCCCATTTAACTTGTCAATAATCATGTCTTCTTTGATAGGTAAATCAATCCTCCCCTTGATCATCTCTTTGTTATATTCACTTGAGACCTTTTTTAATCGTTGCTTTAAAAGATAACATCTGAAATTACGCTGAATGATAGCAGCAGACACCTCTTCTTGTTTGCGTTTCAAAGTGGTTGTAATGGGCTCATAGGAGACTTTGGAAGGATTTGATGCCATGAACCGATCTTCCATCTGTATTCTGAGGGCATCCATCTCTCCACTCTCACCCAAAACACGCTTGGTAAAGGCAAATAAAATGTCGAGGCAGTGGATGCGGTCACCGCTGACCATGGGCAGATCCATGGCAATGAGCTGGACTTTGTTGGGTTTTGCTATGAGAAGGGGAGGATCTAGGGCAGCTGCGAAATCAGAGAGTTTGGCAAACTCGATAAACTGCGTCGCATCGGGGTCAAACTTCTCCCAAACCTCATAGAACATCTCAAAGTCATCCTCACTCAGGGGCTCTGCACTTTCCTCAGTAGCAACACTGAAGTTCTCCAGGATGACAGCGATGTACATGTTCACCACCACCAGGAATGAGATGATGATGTAGCTGACGAAGAAGAAAATCCCAACAGATGGGTTACCGCAGTCTCCCTTAACTGAGCTGCCAGGGTGAATTGTGTCAGGATCACAATCAGGTGGTGCACTGTTGAGAATAGGTGCCAGCAAGCCGTCCCAGCCAGCAGAGGTGGTAATTTGGAACAGGCAGATCATGCTATTGCCAAAGGTCTCGAAGTTGAACATGTCATCAATTCCAGCTTCCTTTTTAACATAAGCAAAGTTGGACATTCCGAAGATGGCGTAGATAAACATGACGAGGAAGAGCAGGAGGCCGATGTTAAACAACGCAGGGAGCGACATCATCAACGCAAAGAGCAGCGTGCGGATTCCCTTTGCTCCTTTGATCAGACGCAGGATTCGGCCGATCCTTGCAAGTCGGATCACTCGGAACAAGGTCGGGGACACAAAATATTTTTCTATCATCTCTGCCAGAAACATTCCTGTGGAAAAATAGAGGGGGAGGGGGAAGCTAAATAAACAATCTCAATCAATCTCTCTCTCCCTCTCTCTCTTTCTCTGAAAGTTGAGAGATTGGTTCCATTCAGTCATTCATTCATACACACACATTTTCCTCCCTATCCCTCACCCAGTTCACTTTGTCATGTTTGTCCTGTTCCAAACTGTTAACTGTCAAATAGGAAATCTTAACTTTTATGGATGCTTAATCATGTCTTCTCTTATAGGTAACTCAATCCTTTGCAATCTCTGCAAAGCTATGATATGCATGAAATGTTTGAATTTACTCCCTAATGTAAACTTGGAATTTTAGTCAATGATTCTGTACACAAAATCCAGAACTTTAAGACCACAGCTTGACAATTTAAAACTATTCTCAGTACTATGGATAATTATCCCCACACAATGTGCCAATTACAAGTAAATATTACTTCTGAAGTTTCAATATATATTTCTTCTATTTCTCCATGATTTTCCTTCAGCTAAAAGAAATATTACAATGTTTGACATGAAATTAAAACTATTTCACTTTCATATGTTTCCTTTAAATATCAACTGTCCTTTTAAAATTCAGCTCAGATGTTTTCTTTTTTCACCTCTAGGAGTTTATGCTCTTATTCTTCCACGGTATTGTATTAGCATTCTCTCTCTCTTTTTCCTGGTGGATGGATTGGCAGCTGGATGCTTTTCACAGACTAGGCCATTCGTGCCTTCTACTTGGAACCAACTCCCAGTTGACTTTCCATTGTTTTCTAAGGTTAATCACATAGGAGGAGATTGCCCATTCTTCTCCTACCCATCTCCAGGCTGCTGGTGGATATTAACCTCCAGAAACATGTGGCTTTTAAGTTAGCAGCACAATCCCCTACAGGCTTTACAATCAGAGGTCCCAACAGTGGCTCTGAGGGGAAAAGATGGATACTCTCTTCTTACAATTTATAGCCTTAGAAACTCAATGGCCTGAATAACAATGACCTAACTTGACTTCTCTTATTTCTTAGAACTTTGTCTCTTCATCTTGCCTAGAACTTTGTAAAGCAGAGTCTCTAATTATGTCTGATTCTTACCCATCCATTCCCATAATATTTCCAACATAGTTCATTCCTCATACATTATGTCAGTAAACCTAATCCAGAGTTTTTATTTAGACATGTTAATGCTTATGAACATCGTGATCCTCAGACCTAATTTCCATGTTACCCAGCTTCCAAGACTTGGGACAGCCATTCTCTTATTATTGTGCTTCTCTGGAAAGAAATCATTCTTACCTACAATGGAGAGAATCACAACCACAAAATCAAAGATGTTCCAACCTATGGTGAAGTAGTAGTATCTGAGGGATATAAGTTTCAGCACAAATTCTCCAGTGAATAAGACAATGAACACAAGGTTGATCCGAGACAAGACCAGAGTCATGTACTTGCTCTGGTCATCAGTTTCCACCATCATGGTGACCATGTTGAGGCAGATGAGGATCATGATACTGATGTCAAAGACTTGTCTTGTTACAAAATCAAAAACCATCCCTTGGAATCTATTCTGGAAAGAGGAAATACAATGTTAATATTTACATTTTACAAATAATGATCTTGTATTATTATTGAAGTCTTTACATATACAAGCACAAGAGATACATCATTCCCTTATGACCACAAACATTTTTGTATGCTCTATACTTTCCTTTTCCCCCCATTCTTAAAATTATACTTTTCATGTTTTCAAAATGGAACCAAATATGATAAGAACTTGGAATTTACCCTGAGAATATCAGAACTGAGGCACAAATGGAGATTTGCACACCAATGTTCATAGCAGCATTATTCATCATCACAAGAACATGGAAACAGCCCAAATATCCAACCACAAATGAATGGATTGATAAATTATGGTACATTCACACAATGTAATACTACACAGAATGCAGGAAAAATGACTTTGTAAATTATTACCTAACTTGGGAAGGACTGGAAAGCATTATGCTGAGTGAACTAACTCAGTTCCGCAAGGACAAATATTGCATAAAACCATTAGTGTAGAATGAGAATAGGATCCAGGAGAGGTGGAGAGGCTGGAAACAGACAGATGTGTATGTGCAGGGGGAGGGAGAATTAATCATTGGGTTGTACAATTTGATGGGTCTGGGGGTGAGGGAAATTGAAAGAATTTGTTCAAATTTTGTAAACAAACTAGTAGAAAGTTAGAAAATTTAAAAAATAACAAAAACAAACAAAAAATATAAGAACACAAAGCACTTGTTTCTTTAGGTCTCATGGGGTGAGAAAATTGAATGGAATGTAAATTTGTGATAGATTTTATAAAACAAAATGTATGAGAATGTATGTAATACAATGTGAATGAATAATAGTATTAAATATGATGTATATAAGCTTTGTAAGTAAATCAGGTAAAAAATCGTAGTATGGAATGTATATGAATGATTGTATGAGACATTGTATATGATTGTCTAAAATGCATTGTATATGAGGAAAAAAAGCATTGATATCTACAAATCTGATCAAGGAAATGTGCAAATCTATTGAATTAAAGAGTATTATTTTTTTGAAGAGCATTATATTTTTTTAAAAACCCCCGAGAGGTAAATTGGTGGCAATTTATTGGTAATATGTTTTTCACCATTTTTACTTGATTTTGCAATATCTTTATTTGATTTTAGGAGCTTTGGTAGCAAAGTAAGGAACCCCGTGGGCTTTATGCGATAGCTGTTGGGCTGCAGACAGAAAAGTTGGCAGTTCAATTTTACCAGTTGCTTCTGAGGATTAAGATGCAATAGTCTCCTGTTAAGATTTACAAATTTCGAAGGATGCCCTGAGCCAGACTCAACTCAATGGCAGGGTTTTAGTTTGTGTTTCAGTGAGATAAGTGTTGATCAAAAGTTGTTCAGACCCAACAGTTGCTCCATGGAAGAAAGATAATGCATTCTGTTCCAAGAAAATTCACATCCTCAGAAGCTCTATGGGGCAGGCCTACCTTGTAATCTATGATCACTACGATCAGAATCAACTCAAAGATATTGTTTCGGTTTGTTTGCTTTACTTGATTACTTTTTTTTTCTTTATGGTAACTATGTGTGCAGAATAGAAATGTGCTTAATCTGATTTTTAAATTGTGACTTGCGTAAAAGGTTACAAAGCATATTGATTTTTTTAATCATTCATACACATTTTGTTCCATATATTAATTATAGCCACAATGTTTGATAATCCATTCATTCCAATTGTCTTTCTTTTCATCTATCTTAATGTATTTATCATTTATTAATTACTTTTATCTTTCCCTCCCTTTGGCTGCCTATTAACTGTATTAGAGTCCATATTTTTTACTTTCATTTAGTTACTATATGATTTTTTAAATATCACACTCATTAACTTATGTTTGTATAGGCAGACACTTGAATGATTTTTTCCAATTTATAAATATTTTAAAAATATAGTTTTATATTTAGTTCTCTCTCTCTCCCTTCAGATATGTTAATCTTTTTATTTCAAAAGGGTTCAGGTCTGCTATTCACAAAGTTTCTATGAGTTTTAATTGACTTAAAAGCACCCCAAAACTTCTAACTCTTTACGTGTCTTTGTAGTGGTTCCTTCAATCCGCTTTAATTAGTTCACCAAAATTTTTCTTTGCTTTATTAATACAGACTACAGGATAAATGAGTTTGATTATATAGTTTAATGAACATAGAATGCCATTTACATTCTTTAACATTAATATAAGGCTTTACAGAGTATTTTTTTACAGAGTACTGTAAATAAGTATTTTTTTATCTTTCAGTATAGTTGATGAACCAGTGAACTATTTTGATGAAACTCTTTTCTACAACTTTATGAGCTATTTTTCAGTCATTAAAAGTAAAAAGAACAGAGTATAGAAGGAGATCATAGGAGTGATATTTAAAATGACAACTGAGTGGCATAGAATAATATTTAGAGAGCAGAGTCAGAAATGTCAGCATCAATAGGTTTCAATAAAAAGGTGAAACACTTTTTGAAGAGGTTATTGGCAATTTAAGGTTGGAAGTTTTCAAATGTCACATAATAAAGAAAAATGAAAGTCAATTTGTAATTTAAATTCTCTTATCTATCAGGACAGCTCTGGTGGCCAAGTGGGTAGAGAGTTGTGCTGTCAACTCAAAGGTGTTTGAATCCACCAGTATTCCTCAGCACAGAAACGGGCAATTTACATATCATTTATAGCCTCTGAAAATGTGGTCAGCTTTTTTTTTTTCAGCTGACTGTCAGCTATGAGTCAGTTCGAACTCAACATCAATGAGTTGAGAGTAAGTCTTTTTCTGTTTACTTTAAGCTTCAGGCATGTTTATTTTAATACTGTAGAAAATATATTTCATATTGTTGTTGTTGACTGCTGTCGAGTCGAGCTCAACTCCTAGAGACTCTATGAACGAAAGATCTAATGCCTTTCCATAGCTATCATTATTTCTCCAAGTTCAGAGTTTCCAGAGGCATGTGGTTTAAGAAGTGGATGCCACTCCTACTTCTAAACCTGCCTTACTACTGGGAGCTCCACTAAAAACTGTCCATAATGGGAAACCTTAGGGTATTTGATACACCAATGGCACAAGGTTCAGCATCACAGCAAACCCAGGTTACTTCATACAGCACATTGACAAAGATAGAGGTGCAAAGTAGAAGAATGCTCCTCCAGATATAACAACACTAGTCTCATTTAGCAACGGTTAAGTGTTGTCAAGTTGAATACGACTCAGTAAACTTTGCACAAAAGACCTGAACTCTGTTTTATAATTACCATAATTTCTGTACATTTATAAGAGTTTGTAGAGTTTCCAGAGGCATCTACTTTAGGAACTGGATGCCACTCCTGCTTTCCAACATGAATCAGTCTGGAAGCTCATCCAAACATTGTACATATTACCTCCTTTAAAAAAACTGGCTAAACCATACTGGCAATTATGAACTGTGTTATACAGTATGACATTTCTAATTAGACATCTATATTGTTGATACCATTTAATATGTTCTGATTCATATAATTGCCCACATTGGAAGCACAGCTTTGGAATGTGAAAGTGTATGAGTCATTCTTACTGCTGGTCGAGGTATGGGTTTCTGAGGTTTCTTAGATCCAAGCTTCTTCATTGCATTGTAATATTTTTTCTGTTCCTCTGTCATAAAGATGTCTTGACCTCCAAAGTAAAGGCATAGTATAAAACTGGTTACAATCATGGCATGTGTACACATTTTTTAAAAAAAATAAAAATATATTTCTGAGTTTTCCTCTTGTATCTTTTCTCAGTTCTTTTATTGTTATGAAGTTTCTAAATAAAGAATTACACTGTTTCTCATTTGTGTGAAATTCTAATTAACATTACACAAGATCCATCATCAGTTCTGAATGGCACAGGATCTTAATTTGCTTTTCTTGTGGTTAGAGGTGTCTCAAGGGTCTCAAATATATGTTCCTGAATCTAATAATGTTTTCTTCCTTCATTTCACTGTAGATAGTTTATTTCTTTATTTATCTTTGTTCTGGGTATCAGAATTACACAGACTTATATAAGATATAGTGTCTTTGTCCCATGTGAGGTAGGAAACTGAAACCAAAGTGAAGCGTACATAATCACATGCTAAAAAATATTCACTGTTGAAGCAACAATAAGCTTATTCAGAGACTGGTTTTACAGAAAAGTTTTAAATGGGCCTCAAAGGATCATGAAAGGCTTGCTAGGCAAAGCATTTCAGAAGAGAAAATAGTACACAGAAAATCATAAGTGCCATGGCATGGTTTGTTCTGGAAAGGGTAAAATAATACAGCTAAATAACAGTTTGTAAAGCAGGGAATGATGGTGTTAGTGGATGGGTGGATGATGACAGAGAACATAAAGAAAGAGAATACACATTCATACATTCCTTTAAAGAGAATACCCATTCATGGGTATTCTTGTCATTACAGAAGTCCAGAGTGAAGGCTGCATAGTGGAATGGACTTGGTGGGGGGAGGGATTGCATAACAATGAGTTTTTCTTTCTCTTCAAGGAGAAGAGTGAATTGGGGGGAGGGGCTGGGTAGGGAGAAAAGTGCAGAAATGAATGACTGGAAACCCTAAGTCTCTGTAAACTTTAATGAAATTAATTAAAAAAAGAGAGAATAAAAAGTGGGAGAAGATGAAGTTAGAAAGTTGAATGAAGACAATCCTTGAAAATCTAAAGTAAATTATACAGCATTGGCTGTTTTGAAGCAGTGTTCACATATATTTATCAACAATACTGCTACAGCAGCTCTGTAGAGGATAAACCTGGAGAAAAGCCAGAATAGTGGATGTATTCCACTGCAGCTGACTTGATCATGTGGAAAACTGGGAAAAAAATGACATAAAAGTGCCTTAAATTTGCTCTGATTATAAGAACCCAGGATATTTGGTTGTTTAACAGAACACAGCTTCAGAATGGGGGAATGTAAAAGCTGAGGAATACTTATCTTCTTTTTTTGCTGGTTGAAATTATCTATGATAACACCAATAAATAGATTCAGAGTGAAGAATGACCCAAAGATTATAAAGATGACGAAATATAAATACATGTATAGATTTTCTTCATATACGGGCTGCTGGGTTACCTAAATGATACAGAAAGGTTTAAATTTATTTTAAAGCCACAATGACTACTTAGGCTAGCTTTAAAATTGGTGAGCATTGTTAAGATAAGGACTACTTTTGCTTTACAACTAATGTTGGAATATCTGAAGAATTTCCCTCACCCTTGCTCCTAGCTAGAATATTCTGATATAACGAGGAGTTATGTTTTATGATTGTTCCTGAATCTTTTTCCCACTGTGTCTTATCTATAACATACTCTTTCTAGTGCTTTGTTATTGTTGTTGAGCACTACTCATAGTGACTCTATGAACAAAAGGCCTGAAGCCCCTCTACAACTGTCAACATTTATGAAAGTTCATAGAGTTTCCGGAGGCATGTTACATAGGAAGTGGATGCCACTTCTGCTTCCAAGTACATAGAAATTATATAAATAGGACATAACTTGAGCCTGCTGGATTTTTTTGTTTAATATAATATTTTAAATTTAAGTTTGGAAATAATAGATCTTGTAACAAAACATCAACTTCTAAAAGGAAGATTCAGCATAAACAGATATGTCCTGAAGAGTTATTTTTATTTTCAAAATAATATTTTTTCCCAAAAGTCCAATATTCTGACATTTATATTCTGGTTCTAGACTCTGGTTTATCATACACTATTGGGACAAGGAGAGACAAATTACTACTCCACTGAGCATCTTTTCTACTCTGAATACCATACCAGTCTGATCCACATTTTCTAGTCCATGAATATTTAGTTAGATATCTTTCATATCGTATGTTGTCGTTATGTGCTTCCGAGTCACCTGTGACACAGAGCGACCCCTGTGTACAACAGCTCTGAACCCTGCTCTATCCTGAGCCAATCTCTCCACCTCTGACACACCTACCCCCTTTATTCCAGTAGACTAGCCATATATTAACTAAAATATCATCCAAATTGCAGTGTATTGCCTTAAAAAAGATCACTTCTATACAAAGTGGTAAATATCTAATTTCATCTACTATAAAATTCTTGTTCAGTTAAATTGTCATATGTTCACTATGGAAATTCTAATAACTACCAATAGCGTTTGAATGGTACTTACTTCTCGTGAGTCAACAGCTGCATACATAATATCCATCCAGCCTTTAAATGTGGCCTACAAATAACATATCTGAATTCAGCATAAAAATCTTATCTAAGAATATAATATTTTACAAGGTGAAAATCTGATAGTGTTGCTGCAAATAATTTTTTTTGCATAGTATTTTGAAATTCTGTTACAGCATGAGGGTTTGGTTGTATATTTTTTTTTAACTTATGGACAAGACTTTATTTTCTTTCTTTTTCTTAGACGACACTTCATTCATAACTAAAATTGAATACTTGATGTAAGACTAAGGTTTTGACTTTCAAACCTGTCAGTCTTAAATCACTTTCATTCTAAAAATAATTTTGAAATAGAAACTTATGGCTTTGTTTAAATACGACTCAATTAGATAAAAATGAATAAATATTGTATACTTTCAAATCTAAACTATATGATGTTAATTTCCATGCATAGCAGAATCATAAGTATCTAAGTTATCAGATTAATGATTCATATATTTAATTAATCAATAACAATATACAGTTACTTAATTTACACAATTGCTCCTTTGGAAATTACTGCATTTAGTAATGAAAAATTATAACAGTGTGCAATAAGAATAAAATAAAGTGTTTTCAAAAGTCAGAAAGCAGAAAGACCAAAATATAAAATATTAAAAACATGTTGAAAGCTGAGTCCTAGGGAAATGCATACAAAAATTAATATCTAAAGCCGCTTCTCTACAGTTTACAACCTAATATTATATGTACAGCCAAAACCTAGGTTATACAGACAGTTAATGTGCCTAGTTTTTTACTGAAAGGATGGATGTTTAAGTATACTCAGTGGCACATCAGAAGAAAACTCCAACGATCTACTTTTAAACATCAGCCATTGAAAACTCTTTCAGAGTTCAATTTTATGTGACACACAGGGATTAACTAGCACCAGAATCAATTCTATGATAATTCATTTTTATTATATTATGTGTATAACTATTAGTAATTCAAACAATGAGAAATAGTCGTATTTGAAGTATTTTGAAATGCTTTCAAAATACACACAGTAGCCACTTACCACTTGAAGCAATGCAAGATAGCCGGCGCCAACATTATCAAAGTTCACTTTCACATTTTTCCATCGAGCTTGTTTGCCAAGAGCCTTACAGTCGCTCAAATTATTGACTTCACTAACATCAAACATGTCACCCGTTGTCATGTTAACGCAGTGGTAAAACTTGCCAGCAAACAAATTCACACCCATGATGCTGAATATCAGCCAGAAGATGAGACAAACCAACAGTACGTTCATGATAGATGGAATTGCTCCAACAAGAGCATTCACAACCACCTAGTAAATAATGAAAAAAGGCAGTTTAATCGTTCAGATGGGGCGCATTTCTTACACTTATTTACTTAGTTCTAAGATGAGTATGAAGAAAGAAATAAAATTTCAGTGGAAAAGTTGTTTTTCCTGATATTTCCTAGTACACATTTGATAAGGGAAACGAACAGTAACATAATTAAAGAGCGAAAGGATTTATGAGAAGTAAGAGATGCCAAAGTGTGAAAGAAAATAAAAACTTGGTAAGGTTAAGATGTAGTCAGAAAAATATGTGCTGGGTAAGAAAAGAAAGATACATTAACTATTAAGAGAATAAATAATCATAATTCAACAATATCTGCTAATTTTAATGAGAAAGTGATGACTGGAAAAATGGATCCAATCTTTTACAAAAAAAGAACTAAAATTTCTGAAATCTGTATGCTTTAGATTAAGTTAACTATTTATAATTATAAGGGCCAAGATTCAGAATTAATACATTTTTTTTCTAATTTGGCCAAACTTAGTTAAAAGTATGTTAGATTAGAAAATTAAGTTGGGATTTTTGGACATGAAGGTACTGTCTATGTCATCAATATTATTATTATTATTAAACTTCTTAAATGTTCATACGAGGAACATTTGTTAAATTACCAATTCATTTCAAAAGGAGGAAATCTAGCTACTTTTTCTTTGATGAAACTTAGAAGAGATTTAAGATATATTTTGAAATCTCTAGGAATTGAGACCATATTTCCATTTTTCTTCTCCTAATGAAATGTACTTATATTGGATTAAGGAACTCTATATTTCTTAATGAAATGTGCTTATATTGGATTAAAGAATTGATGGACTAGTCCATACAGAGTTTTGTGCTGCTCACTCAAAGGCTATGCCTCTCTGGCAGTTGGAATGTCCCAGAAGCTCTTTGGAAGAAAGATGAGTAACTCCTCTGGATTTATTTACAGCCTTGAAAATCCAATGCAGGGCCCGCTATGAGTTAATTCATATTTGATGGCAATGAGTGAGAAAAGATGGTTTTAAAATACTGTAAGCATTTTAGAAATTTATACCAATGAATTTCAAATGGACATGTCAAAATTAGATAGTCAAATTCTAAATTTTTCCTATGCTACCCTAATATATACATATATATATATACACACATATACTTAGCAAGTTTTTTTTCCAGTTTTGTTGTTATGTGCCATCGAGTTGCTTGCGACTCATAGCGGCCCTATGTTTAAATTTATATAAATTGGCATCTCTCATTGTCAAGTAAAACATGATGCAGTTTATATTTTACAATGAGGATGTAAATTACATAACTTATCTGAATTAAAAATACAAATTTAGAATATTTTCAGATTAAAAAAATATTTAATTTTGTTCAGTTTCTATTGCCTCACAAAAAAAAAAACCCAAATGAAAACACTCTATAAATATGAAATAATGCAGCCAGAAGCGTAACTAATGTAAATAATTATAAAAGACTGATGTGAAAAGTATGTAAAATTTGTTTGGAAGTAGTAATGGAAAGAAACTTATAATGTAAAAGACAAGTATGTTCCTACAATGCTCTTCGAAAGTCTACATAGTGTTTCCATTTGCTTTGGCAAGTAAAATTTAAAAATAAGGCTGAAGTGTTTTTATTGTCCCAAACAAACCACCTCTTAATAAAAAGGCTTTATGGCCTAGAAAGAATTCAATATCCATGTGCATGTGCAAGCTAGATTAAACATAGCTGGTCTTTACACTAAGTAGTATTTTGAGGGGTTTGGCAAGTGAGCATATAGCTATTTAAGAGTGCATTTTGTTTAGACACATAAAATATACACTAAGGAAGAGTGCTAGAGAGAAAAGTACAAGCATTATGGAAAAAATGATCCTCGTTCAGAATGCTTAGTTAAAGACAGAGATATTTAAAACAAACCTCAGGGTTTTCCTGAAATGTCCAAGTAATTACCCTGATCCTCTACTTTGCTTAGAATATATACATTTGGCAGAGACTACAATTTAAGGCTGTTTTCTTGTACGAATACCATTTATACTGATATTAATTCAAGTCTAAAGCATCTTAACACATTGCACATATAAGGATAAATATTGCACGATCCCCTTTTATAAGAATAGATAAATATAGACAGACCAATGTTCATTTAAGGTTTCCAAGAGGAGAGAGGAAAGTATACTTTAATCCTAGAGAATTGTCCTTTTTGGTGATGGGAAAATTATTACCAAATGTGGATGTAGTGAGCATAGCACTATTAGCGTAAAAAAGCGTGAGCTCATAAGGATAAGTACATTAATACATGGACATGTATCAGTATGTACATAGAAAATTACAAAAATGTGGATGCAGGCACCTATATTCATTCAAGACACAGATACACTCCTTAAACACAATTAAACACCATACAACATACCATGGCTGCCTAGATTTGGAGGATTATAACCAGTTTTTCCTGCAACAACTCATTCAGTTAATACAACACAGTTCATAAAAATCATGATCTGCATCCTATTGAGGTGTGAGTAGTGTTTGGAGTACTAAAGGTGTTGGAGTGACCACGTAAGATAGAACTACAAACATCTACATATCATGTCAAAAACAATAAGAGGGTAGCCAAGAGTTTAGAGAAGAAACTAATGTGCACAAGCTACAACCAAAAGAACTAGATGACATTACTGAGATCACAATAGTTGGAATTAAACAGATGGCAAGAAATATATGGACAGAACTGAAATTCTTATTTATGGAGAAAAAGAAAGACAAACTGCAGAGAGCAGAGACTATTACCTTGGGACAATATTTAAAGCTGGAACTGAACTTATTTGATAAAGTGGTCAATCAACCAATAGAATAAAGGGGTTGACACCCTGTGTAAAAGTCTTAAGTGTGAATCTAAAAGGTCAACAATTACTCAAAAGCAAAGACACAAAGATATTTGGCAATGCAATTAGAGTACTGGAAAAGGCAGAAAGAGAACAAAAAGACAACACTGACACATCATGAAAATGTAAGTAATTTCACTGAACAATTTAATGGTGGGCATAGTTCAGTGGTGATTAATTTTATAAAACACAATGTATATGAGCTGACTTGAGATCCCCTTGAACATAAACTGCTTAATCTGGTGCTCTTGATCTCTGGCTACTCCAGAGACAAAAGAATATATTAGGCTTCAGAAGAGAAGGTGCCATCAGGTGAGACACTTCCTCAGAGCCAGCTCTTGCAGGCATATTCAGGGTAGAGAAAGGATGTAACTTCCCTGGGGAAAGGTCCCTCCTTTCAAATAGCTATATAAGTAACTACAAATGATAGAAGAAACAAGGGAAGCCAAAAATAAAGGGAATACCCTAAAGGTAGAGAACCAGAAGAAATATATTGATGTGGAATTATTTTAACAGCTATGAAAGAAAGTACAAATGATGAAAGAAACAATAGAAGCCATTAAGAAAGCAAATACTCTAGAAATAGGCAGCCAAAAGAAATATATCAATGAAAAAGAACTTGCACAACCATGCAAGAAAATGCTAAAGATCAATGATAGAATTTAAATTATAGGTAAATAAGTAGAAGAACTTAAAAAAATCATCACAAGATAGAGAGGGTATAAACAACATAGTACTGGAAATAACATAAATGCATGAAAATGCAATTCAGAAAATTAAGACCAAAATGATAGAAGTGTCCAACATAGTCAAGGGACAAAAAAGGAGAACAGAATAAGTGGAGAACAGAATCAGTGAGCTGGAAAACAAGAACCTCAATGGAAACATACTAATAGAAAAAAACAGAGATGAGACATGAAAAAAACATTAGAATCATGTGGGATGACCTCAAAAGGAACAATATATGAAAGACTGGAATTTCAGAATACAGGAGGGACAGGGAAATCATTGAAAAAAAAATTGTTGAATAGGTACTAGATGAAAACATCCCAAGTATTATTAAGAATGAGGAAATCTACACTCAAGGTTAGTGAACACCAAAGAGACTAGAGACGAAAAGAAAAACAAGCAAAAAGCAAGACACCTCATGGTCAAATTATCTGAAATAAAAGATAAGGATGGAATAGTAAAAGCAGCATGAAAAACGAAGAGTTGTCTACAAAGGAAAAGCAATTGTATTAAGTTGTGATTTCTCAGCAGAAATCAAGTGAGCAAGAAGACAATGGAAAGGCATACACAGAAAACGGAAAGAAAACAGTTGCCAACCAAAGATCCGGTACCTAGCAGAACTCTCCATCAAATATGAAGGAGAAATTGGATCCTTCTTGCAGAAAAAAAGGAACTTAAAGAATTTGTGAAAACAAGACCAAATCTACAACAATTTTTAAGGAAAGTCCTTCTCACAGAGACACCAAAGGAACATGGATGGGACACCAGAAACAACAGAAAAAAGAAACAGCAAAATGGCAACAATAAAACCTGGCCTGTCAACTAAATGCACCAATCAAGAGAAAAAGGGTATCAGAATGATATGTCACAAAGTCCATCAATATGTTGTCTACATGAGACACATTTAAGAAATGAAGAGAAAGATAGACTCAAGATCAAAGACTGGAAAAAATATACAAAGCAAATGGCATCCACAAAAAAAGTAGGAGTGGCAATACTAATCTCTGATAAAATAGATTTCAGGATGAAAACTACTGTAAAAGATAAAGAAGGGCCCTATATAATGATTAAAGTCACATTAGATCAAGAAGACACAACTGTGGTCAACATCTATCCACCAAATGGTAGACCTGCAAAATACATATAACAACGGTTAACAAGAGTTGAAGAAAGAAATAGCACCACAATAGTGGTAGGAGACTTGAGCAAATCTCTCTCACCAAAAGATTGATCAACTCAAAAGAACTTAACAAAGATGAAGAAGATCTAAATTATATATTCAACCCAGTTGACATTGTGGATGTACTGCACCCAATTGAAGCTCAGTTCACTTTCTTCTTTAGTGCACATAGTACATTCTCCAGAACTGAATATATATTAGGGCATAATGTAAACCTCAACAA